TTAATTTACTTAAAAAACGTATTCTCAGAATACGTTTTTCATATAAAACAAAGTGGTGGGCACTGCCCACCGTGGGCAGAGGATCAAAATTTTATACTTTTATGCTATAAACATATTTGTCTACTCATTCGAGTTTTAGACTATCTTTATCCGTGACCCACTAGTTGGGTCACGGCAATAAAACCAAATAAAAAAAAAACTAAAAAAAAAAAAAGAAAAGGTTATAACTTGCGCGACCCAGGTCACATTGTGACCTCGGGTCGCGACCGATTCTTGTGTAAAAAATGGGACACTTGTCTCATTTTTATTAGATAAGTGTATTTTTTTGTTTTAAAAAAAATAAAAAAAATACTAAAATTCATATTTTTCATTCTCTACAAATAGAGACCACACTTGATATATTTTAGGATACAATTGTAATTTTTAAATAAATTAAAATAAAATAAATATTTAGGTTGAGTTGGGTTGGCGATAAAGATAAATTTATTTGTGAGGTTGAGTTGTGTAAGTAGAGGAGAGAGAAATAATTTTTAATTGTTAGGTTGGGTTGGGTTGGGTTGTGGATAAAAATAGTCTTAGACAAGAGCTTACAAATAGTGTGTGTGTTGGACTCAAGACAAAGGATTTGAGAAACTTGTATGTGTGTTTTGGACTATACTTGTTATTCTAGCATTCTGAGTTTTGGACATGAGTTTTCAGGGTGTCTTATAATGAGAGATGTGTATGTTTGTTGGATTGTACTAACAACTTTGTGGTGATGCTCGTTTGTGGGAGGTGGTCGCCGACATATTGACTTAAGGTGGGAGACTTGTATTCGTGTTGGACTGGCAACTCATGATGATGCCCATTTGTGGGAGGTAGTACGTGACATGTCATCTTACTAACGGGAGAGAAGTGTGCTTGTATTGGACTGACAACTCATCTTCTTACGATAGAAAATGAAAATCTAATATAGCACATGGTTTGGTGGTTTCATGATGCATATTGGGGAATGCTCTATTATGGGGGTTGAGTTATGAGAATTATTTAAGGACCTTACTTTGGCATGGAATTGGCGGTATCGTCGGATAAAGAAGTCGATAACTCAAGCGTTGTGGGATTTGCTAAGGATACTGAGGATATAGCAGGGGTCCATTATGGTTTAGTCCTGGGATACGAGAGCTCCTCAGTCGAGACTGACAGGTGCGGATTTCTCACATCTTCCGTGATGCTAACTTTGTTGCGGACTATTTAGCAGCTTTGACGGCTTCGGCATCTCTTGGGTGTCATCAGCTTTCTACTCCGCCTTCTGGTGTAGTTCCGTGGATCGAGCACAACTTAAGGGGTGTCTCTTATTCACGAAATGTTTGTCTCTCTTAGTTTATGAACAACCGATTTCTTTATACAAAAAAAAAAATTATGGACTTAGCAAAAATAGTACTTTTTATCCCACTTGCTCTTCTCCTGATTCCTAGCTTTTTAGTTGAACATATTTGCTTT